AAGCGACCGCTTTTTGATTGTAAAAAAAAAAAAAAAAGGAAGTAAAATACAAGACTCACGGAGTGTGGGGTTGGGAAGTATGTGGTAACGAACCAAAAACACTTGGAGAGGGAGGGAGAGGACTTGTTTTGGATCCGTTTTCTCTTGTTCAGGCCCGCTCAGATGCAAGCATAACTGACGGCACATAGGTTTTCGCTAAAAAAGCCCCAAAAAACCCTCCTTATAGAGAATTTATTATCAAAAATCCTTTAAATTATTGAAGATTAGATGTAAGTACGACGTTCTGTATACTTTTTTTGTTTTCGGAGTCAAAATATTTGGATAAGTTCGCGGCTTTCTCTCGTCAAAGTTTGAATTTTCCACAGGAAGCCCGTGAAGTTGCCTACCTTGTTAGTATATTGTATAGTAGAAAAACAAAATTGTTACCAAGGGGGGAAGGGGAGATGACAAAAAAATCAATAGCGCACGCATAAAAAGACAAGACACCATTTAGTATTTCCTTCATTTATCAGAGTGGTTAGCCTGTGGTTAAGGTGAGCAGAAAATAAGCTTACTTAATTACGTCTTTTACAGAACGAGACGAAGTTTACATTCAGTTAAACTTGAAGAACAACTGAGACAAGATAGAAAATATAGCAAAAGACAAAGCAAAATACAAAATGACGAATTTCTTGTCAGTAAATTGGCGCTTGTAAATGTTTTGAATATTTTTTTGCTTTTTAAAGACAAGACAATAACATCTCTAAACAACACAAATTTAAGCTCATTTTTATAATCATACTTTCTCGAACAGCTTAATAAACAGTTAAATATTTGGTGTAAATTCACATCTCATTCAATGATTAAATAAATTATCTGTGGAAAGATATAAAATTATTGAACGAAAGTCTTCTTTGTTTCGCCGATGGGACCCCGCGATAGGAGGCGAACAAAGCTGCAAATTTTATGAACGAAAAACATACCATAGTTGGTTAAAAACAACCAAATTGTTAAACATTTACAAAGCTAAATAAAAGACGAATATTTGTTGTCGTAATATGCTCTCCGTGTTATATTTCCTCCAGCATTAAAATGAAATTAAGCTTATCTATTTAACAAATAGATCAGGCTTAGCTATGTTCTGTTCTCTGATAAAACACGACTGGAGCTGTAGGACGCGAAAAAAGTTATAGAAATCACGAGCCGTAGGCGATATAACTTTTTGAGTGTTCTACAGCTAAACCTGATCTATTCCCTTCATATAATAGATTTTTACGAAAAAAAATAGCGTAAAATTATATATATATAAAAAGATTTGTTTGCAAAAAGAGAGCGCGTCTGTCGTCAAACTCACGTAAACAAATTTGATCTATGCGATGATTGGCTAAAAACGCGACCTATGGCTATCTGATTGGTCCAGTTTTGACAGGTAATGACAGATCTGTACAGGCTGGCATACAGCTGGTTTATCGCATTTGTTCAACAAGAAAGGAGAATTGCTTGTAAATTTTAGCAAAAAAGCCAAAGAAAACAAGCAATTTACTGCTAGAAGAAATGAAAATTCAAATATTGAAGAGTTTGAAAAGCGTTTTCAAAGTTCAGATCGTTAAATGGACATTTAACCTTTACAAACACTCAAGAAAACCAGCTTATGAACACTTTCAATGCCAAGGAGCCGAGAGACGAGGAGCCGATTTTGATCTTCAAAATTGGAAGAAAGCTAGCACTGCAGTACTTGGATAACTTGTTTTTTCAGTTGACCCTGAACTATAGTAGTGTAGGTAGTATTTTGTAATCGTAGTCTCGGGCTATTGGAAAACAAATTACGGTAAAAAAAATTACCGTAAATTAGCGTTAAATTGACGATGGTAGTTTGTAAAGTAAGCTTAAGTTTCTTACGATAGATTTGTTCATTCTTGTTAGACTATAAAAAAAAAATTAAAATTATTTTTTGACTTCTCTAACACCATCACGGTCAAGCAAAAAGCTTCTAGTTTAGCGAAATAAGGTCATTGTACTAATGGTCGCAGCACAAACGAAAGAAAGCTTTACTCGTCGAAATGTAGTACCAATCAAATGTGCTTCAAAACGACATATTTTCCTTTTTTAGAGGAAAGACATATTTCTTGATAAAAATAAATGAATATTTTAAATTTAAAATTTGGAAATGCTTGAAATTGAAAAGCCGAATTCCTGTGACGTATTTTCTATGTTTAATTTTGTATAGAAAACATGGTTTTGACGTCATATCCATGTTTCTATGCTCTGATAAAACATAGCTTTTCAGCCAATCAGAGCGCGCGTTCGTGAAACTCTATTATATAAAGAAATATAAAAAGTTTTAAGAGAAAGTCTTTGATTTTTCGATTCGTCGAGGAAAATGCTTGTCAAAAAATAATAATAATATACGATTGTTTGCAAAAAAACACACACCTGAATTCTTGAAGAACACTTCTTGATCCATCTTTGACTACATGTTTTTTTAAAATTTTTTTTTGGTCTATAACTTGTCTTAAAGCGATTTTTTTCCGTGCATTTGAGAGCCGCATTTGTGAATAGTTTTGCTTTGACATCAAGCGGGATTCCTTTGTTGTGTACACGGACGGACGGAAGTGACGTCAGCCAAGACATGAAAAATCAACTCGATGGTTTACCATTTTTTCTTAAGTATGATGCTCCGCTCGCGCGGGCCAAAGCGGGAGCTCCGCTATAGACACTGATCATAAACATTATAATGTCTGAATCGGCCTGATAACGAAAACGATAATATATGTCTGCAAAGAGCGCATTTAGAGAGCATTAACACTCTCTGTACTTTCTTCAATATGCAAAGGGACCGATAACTTGTGTTCGGAGTATTTCTTTCATTTCATTTCATTTTATTCTATTCTATTTTATTCTTTTTAATATTACTTTTCTTTACTTTATTTTACTATTAACATTATTTTTATATTTTGCGAGTCCAGGTCCGAGTCCAAGTCCCATTCCTGCTTTTGCAGAATGCCACTTGAAAAATATGTCATATAACATTCACTATTCACGTCTATTGGTCACTATTCGCCACTATTCTCTACTATTCTTCACTTTTCGTTTACTATTCGCGACTAATTAGCAATTATTCGCGCTATTCGCGCTATTCGCTCATTATTCGGGTTTTATCACTAGCCGATCACTAGTCAAGTGTCCGTCTAACAAACTTTACATTCCATGTTACTAAAATGGGTGGCACAGTAACATCAAAACAAAACAAGTAGGCTGACATTTTTTAGCAGCTTCAATTCTCACAAAAATTATACTTAACAAGTTATAAAACGGGTTAACTCTTTCCATGACAAAATATTTTACACATAACTTTGCGATTTCAGAGATTCTGGGTATGATTTGCTACTTTATAGCGTAGACGCTTGTGCCTAAAGTGAAATATATTTGGCTGGGGTGCGAGATGTTTTATTCTAATCATTCAATGGTAAAGTAGAGAGCGACTTAGAGACGTCTTTAACGTCGCAAGGCTTATTTTTAAACAGGTTTGGGGGAATGAAGTAATGCACATTTCCATACATAGAGTACCATAAATAGATCTATAAATTGCATTTGTTAGAACATAATGCGCAGTATATGTTCGACATTTGGAACCCATATTTATATTTAATAGTTATGTAGGTATGCACGGTTAGTGTACTGATAAACTCACCTTTTTGTCCATACCGAAGCTACAAACTCTCACTAAATAGTCCTAATAACTTGACCTAAACAACGTGACAGAGTGGTCACAGCCTGCGAATAAATATAGCCTTTGCAATAGCGCACTTCCGAGCTATGCTTCGCTTGACACGCACAAAGGTTTCAGTATGACGCTACGTACTAAATGCTTAGTCATTCGTGACAGGCGGTAAGAATAGATTTAATTTAGCACGTAGCCTCATTCTGAAACCTTTGTGCGTGACAAGCGAAGCATATCTCAGAGGTGGACTATTGGGGTTAATTCCGAACGGACGCACGGTTGAATGAAACCGGAGATGGATCGATTTGAAATATTTCGAGTATCCAATTCGAAGCCGTTATAAGTGTCTGTCCCAGATCTTCCCGTGTGGGTCTAGTAGCCTATACGATATGATTTTGACATTCCATTCTTCAAACATAAATCATGCATGCTGTAGCAGAATGTATATCGCACCTTTTTTCTTTCCTTTTCTCCTTATTTATTTATTTATTTATTTATTTATTTATTTAATCAATTTAATGGCAATAAAAGAGAACATAGAGAG